AGACCAAAAAAAAAAAAACCAAATAAACAAAAAGAATAATATGCCTCCTTTTTCTGTTCTCTGGAACAGTTTGTATAAAATTGTGTAAAGTTCGAATAATTTTTTCAAATAATCATAAAAATTCATTCCTGAAGCATTTATTCTAGACTTTGGGGAAGATTTCCAATTGTTGGTTTCTTTTTATTAGTTAAAAAATTTTTTTAATATGCTTGAGTGTTTTACCTGCATGCATTTAAGTCCACCTGTGTCATGCAATGTTCACAGTGGTCAGAAGCAGGCATCAGATCCCCTGGAACTGGAGTTATAGACAGTTGTTAGTCACCATGTGGGTGGGTGCTGGGAATCAAACCCCAGTCCTCTGCAAGAGCAGACAGTGCTCTAAACACTGAGCCATCCCTCCAGCCCCTCGTATTTTTAATAGTTTTCGGAAGTAAGATTTTTAATTTTTTTCTTCTTAATCAACTTCAATATGTTTTTTTTTTTACTAGTTCATTTCAGTCTTCAAAGTTTTACAGAAGCCAGGTGCAGTGGCACATTACTGTTGTCTCAGGTGCTCAGAAGGCTGAGACAGTGTTGCAAGACTTTTCCTGTGGAGACAAGAACAAAGATCTCCTTACCCCAGATAGGACTGACACTGGCCAAAGTAACAATGCCACCAAAATCGGACTTGGCAAACCAGTAGAACAGCAATTCCCAAAGCCGTATCCCCAGAGCTCTCCTCACAACTTGCAGGCAGCTCTGCCAGCTGGTCTCTGTGCCCCCACAGTTGTGAATGCTTGTATAACCTTGGGAAGGAGCTACTAAATCCTGTAAGTTTCAGGACATTGCTGAGACTTGTGAGTTTTTTATTTCCTAAGCCTTGTACATTTGGCTTCTATCCTGAGTCTTAATGAGCCTCTTTCCAGGGTGGACATATGCTTGTTTCAAAGGAAATGAATGCATAACTGGCAGAAGGGTCACTGGAGCCCAAAAGTTCAGGGCCAGTCTTGCAGCACAGTAAGACTTAAATTTTAAAAAGGTTTTTTTTTTTTTGGTCTTTTTGAGACAGAGTCTCCCTGTAGCCCCAGCTGTCCTGGAACTCACTATATAGACCAGGCTGGCCTTAAACTCACAGAGATCTGCCTGCCTCTGCCTCCCGAGTGCTGAGATTAAAGGCGTGCACCACCACACCTGGCCTTTAAAACGTTTTTAATCTGGGTGTGGTGGAGCACAACTTTAATTCCAGCATTCAGGAGGCAGAAGGAGGCAGATCTCTGTGAGTTCAAGTCCAGCCTCGTTGACATAGCGAGTTCTAGGTCAGTTGGGGCTATAGGGAGACCCTGTCTCAAAAAGACAAAAAAAAAAAGAAGTTTTTAAGAGAAACATATTCATGGTATCGTATTACAAAGTAGTACAATGATCATCATTATTTTCCTTTTTTTTTTCCTTTGGTCTTTTTGAGACGGGGTCTCCCTTGTAGACCCAGCTGGCTTGACATTTTCTATGTAAACAAGGCTTGCCTTGAACTCAAAGAGCTCTGCCTGCCTTTGCCTCCCGAGTGCTGGGATTACAGGCATGGGCCACCACGCCAGCCCGTCATCATTATTTTCATGACATTTGTTGCCCTTGTTTAATTGCTTTGCCCTTAATCAGTTGTTTCTTCCTCCTCCACCTTTTTCCTCCTCCTACTTCCCATCTTCTTCTAAATCTTCCTCTTTTTCTTCTTGACTTACAAGCAATAGGAAGCTTATTCCTCATAGTCTGGAGACTGAGCAGTCCCAGGTAAAGCTGTGGCATAGTCATCAACTAGTGAGAGCCTGCTTCCTGTTCTATAGGTAGCTGGGGGTTTGGTTTGGTTTGGTTTGGTTTGGTTTGGTTTTTTGGTGTCCTCACTTGGAAGAAGAGGTTGACAGGCTCTCTGGAGTCTTACAAGAGTAACTCTCCCTTGAGCAGTCTTGCCAACTTTGAGCATTGTTGGTCCACTCTGTTGTATTATTTCTTGGTAGGTAACAATGAATACACATACTTCACTGGTTAGAGTCAAGATGGTGTAAAATCGTAGATTAGAAAATCCACAACAGTAAACATTGTACAAGTGCTTGTTGGATGATGGCAGTTAACTTCTAGGTGCTTCCTACGTGTCTGGCTCTGTTCTTGATGCTGTCATTGCTGTGTCTTATTGCTTGTGGCCTTACACCTGTTCTGTGAGGTGAGCAGTTATTATCCCCACATTACAGATGAAGAAATCCATACTCAAATCGAGCTCAAAGGCCACTATGAAGTCTTAGATCCACTCGGTAGAATGTGACAGTTAGTGCCCTGCAGCCGTGGGAAGATGATTAGCCATGGCCCTCACCAACTCAGCAGGAAGGCTTTAGAGAGTTCTGTTTCCCAAGGGTACAAAGTACTTTCTCAGCATTTTTTCCATGAGCCTTCTCTGCCTGGTATAAACACTCCTCAGATTCTAATGGTCCTTAGAACCTCCTGTGTTTCGTTGCTCAGTAAGTATTGATTAACTACCCCTCTCTGGATCTTCGATTCACCTTGGATATTGCTGAGTGCATAAAAAGCCTGGTTTCTGCTCTCCTGGAATGTAAAATGTGGAAGAAGGATGATAAGTAAGTAGCTAATGTGTGCTTAATTATAAATTGTGACATGGTCAGTGGAGGAAGTGAATGTGGATGGAACTCTAAGAAAACCTTCTGCGGTTGAATGACAAAAATTGACCCCTGCAGAGTGGCACTTTAGCTGAGACCTGAAGAACAGGTGGCAGCCTCATGACAGCGAGGAGAAAGGCAAGCTCCTGGCCAACAGAAGCACGGAAAGAATCCATGTGTGAGCTTGGAATGCAACAGAAGCCAGGCAGACAGCAGCTCAGTGGGGAAGGAGGGATAGATAGCAAGATGGTTTTAAAGGGGTAGGAAAGGGCCAGGTCATACAAGACCTGGAGAGCTGTGGAGAATTTGTTCCTGAAGTGCTGGGAAATCACTGAAAGATTTTAAAGCACAAGATTCAACTTCAATCTGTGTTTTAAAACAGTGCTTTGGAAGCCAGGGAGATGCTTAGCCTTGCTGCTAAGCCTGATGACTTAAATTCAATCTCTGAGATCCACATGGTGTAACAGGAGAGCTGACTCCCACAGATTGTCCTCTGACCTCACACATACACACACACACACACACACACACACACACACACACACACACACACACACAGACATGTAATCAAAAATTTAAAAGAACACTTTGAGCCAGGTGTGGTGGTGCACGCCTTTAATCCCAGCACCCAGGAGGCAGAGGCAGGAGGATCTCTATGGGTTCAAGGCCAGCCTGCTCTACATAGTGAGTTCCAGGCCAGCTGTGGCTACAGGGAGACTCTGTCTCAAAAAGCCAAAAAAAAAAAAGGAGACTTTGAGGGGCTAGAATTGTAGTTCAGTTGGTAGAATGTATGTACAAGGCCCTGGGTTTGATCCCCAGCATGACATAACCTGGGTATGGTACCCAGGACAGTGATTCCCAACACTTGGGAAGTAGAAGAAAGAAAATCAGTAGTTCAAGGTCATCCAGGCTACATGGGAGCTTAAGGCCAAACTGAGATACACCAGACCCTGTCTTGATGATTTTTTTTGGGGGTGGTCAGGTTGACATGGTTTAGTCACCTAGGAAGAAGGAACCTCAACTGAGGAATTTTCTCCATCAGATTGGCCTATGGGCATGTCTATGAGGCATCTTCCTAAGTGCTGATTAATATAGGAGGGCCAGCCCACTGTGGCTGGTGCCACCCCTGGGCAGGTGGGCCTGAGCTGTATAAAAAGGGCAACTGAGCAAACCAGGGGGATGAAAGCTAGTAAGCAGCCTTCCTCCCTGGTCTCTGCTTCAGTTCCTGCCTCCAGGTTCCTGCCTTGAGTTCCTGTTTGGGCTTCCCTTGATGATGGACTGTGAGCTGGAAGCTAAATAAACCCTTTCCTCCCCAAGTTGGTTTTGGTCAGTGTTTTATGACAGCAATTGAAAGCAAACTAGAACACTGTTTCAGTAATAATAATAATTAATAATAATCACTAGCACAGTTTGTCTGCAGTGTAGGGGATGCACTAGATGGAAGTGAAAACAGGAAATGACTGGGTGGGTGGAGGCTCTCACAACTGCTCAGGTGGCAGATGATCTGGACTAAGGTGGTAGCAAAAATGACACAAGCAGATTACTGTAAAATATTTATGCAGAAGGAGAGGCAACATGGGCTGAAAGATGGGAACTGGGTCATGAAGAAAAGAAAGACTCGGGGTGACTTTCTGCTTACAGGCCTGAACAAAAGTCTGAAAGGGGGCTTCACCACCCACTGGGTGAAGAAAACAACCCTAGAGGTGTGGGCAGGATCAAGGACTTTAACTTTGGTGGATATTGATGTAGAAATGGTATTTCAAGTCATAGGCATGAACCTAGAATCATAGCCAATAGCATGGAGAGATATGTAGCATTAGAAGGGTCCCCAAGTGGATCCACAGAGGGAGGACCAGCAGAGACGCAAATGAAAACCAGGGGGCAAAGAGTCTCTGAGATGGATAGGGTGGATGGTACTTCTCAGTCCCTCGCACACTGGGCTGATTGTGACAGTGGGGTGGGCAGTTAGTGTCCAGGGCAACAGCAGTTTCACCGAGTCACGGGTAAAAGGCAGCTTGGCATAGACTGAAGAAAGGATGGGTCATGCTTAGGGTATGAGAACACAGAGACTCTTAGGAGAATTCCTGTGTCCAGCTGCCGCTTGACGAGAGAAACTTTCTCGACCATAGTAATGTGTGGCAGCTCCAGAGAGGCAAAGCCATGAGACACTGTTATCTCTCAGCTTTGGGAGAATACAAAAATGATATTTGGTTCACATTCCTGTTCGTTCCGTATTATTTCCAGCTCCTCTTTTTTGGTGCTGGGGATCTAACCCAATGCCTCAGGCATGCTCAGCACACTTTCTACCACTGAGCTACCTCCCCAGCCCTATTTTTAACATCCTTATTTATGCCCCATCTTTAGATCAAAATTGAACTCAAGCAGGCACGGGAGAAATTACTAGACAGTGCAAGGGTGCACTCATCACTCATGGCGGAGTGGAAGCACTGTCAGCAGAAAGTCAAGGAGCTGGAGCTGGAAGGACTTAAGCAGGCTCAGAGCCTTAAATCACAGCACAACCTGCAGGGAAAGCTGGCTCAAGAGAAGTCAAAAGTTGCCCGTGCCAAGGAAAAGGTAATTATCTTCACGCTTAATAAACAGTGTGCCTTGAACATGGCTACTGAATTCCTGCTCCCTAAAGACTTCAAGAGGTAGGGTTGGTGCACACCTGGGGATAGTCAGTCTTTTTCTTTACTCTCCCTGTGACTTCCTCTTTAAAATTAAAAGATTTTTTTTAATTTCATCAGCTCATACCATTGCAGTAAATCTTGTGTACTTTTGAAAACTATCTGAATTTTAAACTATAAATTTGGGGGCCTAGAGAGATGGCTCAGTAGGTTTAGTGCCACACAAGCATGAAGTCCTGAGTTCCGATCCCCAGAACCCTCAGCACATGCCTATAACCCCAGCTCTGAAGAAACAGAAAGAAGAGGATCCCTGGGACAGGCTGGCCAGTCTCCCACACTGATGAGCTCTGGGACAGTGAGAGACCCTGTCTCAAAAAATAAAATGGAAGCAACAGAAAACACCTATTTTGAACTCTTGGCCTATACACACATATATACACACACATGTGCATGCACACACATGAACATGTACAACCATGAACATGTAAAAGCCAAAGGTCTTTTATATCTTTCAGGGTTTTGTTTCATTTTTTTGAGACAGGGTCTCCCCATAGCCCCAGCTGGCCTGGAACTCACTATGTAGACCAGGCTGGCCTCAATCTCACAGAACCACCCACCCCAGGTTGCAATTAAAGGCATGTGTGCTCCACCACACCTATTTTGTAATAAAATGTTATGTTTTATTTTGTGTGTATGTACATACACATACATGTTTGTGTGTGTGTGTGTGTGTGTGTGTGTGTGTGTGCGCACACAAGTGCCACAGTGCATTTGTGGCAGAGTACAACTTGTAGGAGTCAGTTCTCTCTTTCACTCTTTACATGGTTTCCAGGGATCGAGCTCTCTCACCATGGCAAGGCTAGCATGGCAAGTGCCTTTATCCTCTGAGCCTTCTTGCTGGCCCCAGTTTTGTAATTTTTTAAGAGGTGTGTTTGTTGTGAAATGAACCATTTTCAAATACTGCCCCTGCATTTTAGGTTGCTTAACACTAGGTGGCGGTAGTATGTAACAGGTGTGTGTGTGTGTGTGTGTGTGTGTGTGTGTGTGTGTGTGTGTGTTGTATGTGTATGGGTGCACATGCCCATGTGTACATGTGTTGAGGCCAGAGGAAGACATCAGCAAGAAATCTTGGATGGATGTCTTCCTCTAACACTGTCTGCTACAATGCCTTGAAACTATTACTCTGTATATGTGTGTCCATTGACAAGGGTCTCCACGTTCATAGTTCCAAAGGGCAGAAAGTAGAGACAGCCCACTGCCACCAGATGTGATAGGTCAGTTGCTGTGTATCTGCATATTAGCACACAACAGTGACGGTGAATGAATGAACTAGAAACACAACCAGAATACCGGAGCTCACTGCTACCTGTAACTAGCAGAAGCCAATGGGCAGAAACAGGAATTAAACCTTAAAACTGCACTTCATTCAGAGAGCTGCTCATCTGTGAAGATGGTGTATTAACACCCGAAACCTGCTTTATATGTCAGCTCTAGCAAGCAGATGACACAGGGAGGAGGGCCAAGACAAGTTCAGTCATTTCAGAGCTCAGCTTCCCCCTGCTCAGTTGTCAGCACGTTTCAGAGACATGATGTCTGCGCTGCTCTTGTCAGCATCCATCACCTCTTCCTCATCTGTGGATGCTCACCTCAGGGAGAACATCTTGAAAAGAGTCAAATTATGGGCTGGAGAGATGGCTCAGCAGATAAGAGCACTGTCTGTTCTTGCAGAGGACCCAGGTTTGATTCCTGGTACCCACATGGCGGCCAACAACCATCCATAACTCCAGTTCCCTCTGGCCTCCAAGAGCGTTGCAGGGCATGGGTATACTTTCATTCAGGCAGGCAAAACACTCATACATATAAAATAAAAATAATAAGATTTTTTTAAAAAAAGGGTCAAGTTACTTTCTGTTGGTATCAACATTCTCTTCCTCCAATGCATCTGGACTGGTGGTGGGGGGTGGTTCACTCAACACATACCGTTAACAGTATGTATGTACTAAGCTCTTAATAACATATATGTGCAGATTCCTTTTACGGTATGGTGCACAAGACTGTCTTTATAATACAGAATATGGAAGTGCCCCTGTTGACCCCTCCTGAATCCTATCATAGGTACATGCTATAGTACAATTTAGTATTGATTTTTTTTGTTGTTTGAGGCAGGGTGTCATTATAGCCTGCTGGCCTTGAATTTGCTATGTATTTGAGGATGGCCTTGAATGTCTGATCTCTTTGCCTCTCTCTGCCTCTGGAGTGCTGGGATTATACACATGCAACACCATGCTTGGTTTAGTGTTGTTTTTTTTTTTTTGTCATTTTCTGTCTCAAAAAGACAAAAAAAAAATTTTAAGAATTTTAAAAAAGATAAAAGGGGGGCTGGAGAGATGGCTCACCAGTTAAGAACACTGGTTGTTCTTGCAGAAGACCCAGGTTCGAATCCCAGCACCCACATGGCAGCTAACAACTGTCCATAACTCCAATCCCAAGGGATCCGACAGCCTCTTCTGTCCACCGCGGGCATTGCACGACACGGGTACACTTACCTCCATGCAGGCAATACATACATATACATAAAATAAAAATAATAAATAAAAAATATTAAATAAAAAAATAAAAAGATAAAAGGGAAAAGCATAGAAATGGTTGACACTTAATCTAGGGTGGGAAGGGAGGAGTCATCGAAAAAGTTAAAGTGTAGACTTCAAAAGTATTGAAAATACTCTCCTTAAACAGGTTTGAAAGTTTGGCAGTGTCCTTGATAGTCAGTGTGTGAAACTGTAGAATGAAGAGTGAATATCTTTAGCTGGATGTAATGGCGTACACCTTTAATCCCAGCACTCCAAAGGCAGAGGCAGGTGGATCTCTGTGAGTTCAAGGCTAGCCTGGTCTGCATAACAAATTACAGGCCAACCAGGATTACAAAGTAAGAACTTGTCTCAAAAATAAAAAGTGAATATCTTTACTAAGAATTCTCAGGCTGAGTGTTTAGCTCAGTGGTATAGCACTTGCCTGGTGTACTCCAGGATCTGAACAGGATTCCCAGCATCCGACAAAGAAAAACAGAGACAGAGTGAACCAGGTACGTAGGCAGAAATAAGAGGCGACATACCAAGACTCTGTCTAAACAAAACAAAAACTAATGAATTTAAATTGTTTATTTTTTTAATGACAAATTCACCAAGCTTTTATTGAATGTCATATTTCAGTAGGCACATCTGAACTAAATTTTTTATTTATTTTAAATTTGCATGTATGAGTGTTATGCCTACATGTATGTAAGTGCACCATGTCGTTCAGTGCCCGAGGAGGACAGAAGAGGGCGTCAGATTCCCTGGAACTGGAGTTCTAAATCGTTGTTAGCCACCATGCGGGGGCTGGGATTCAAACCCAGGTCTTCTGAAAGAGCAGTCAGTGCTCTTAGCCACTGAGTCATCTCTCCAGCCCCCTAAAATTAGTAAATTTAAAGGAGCCTTGTATAACAAAACTGTGTTTTTAAATAACCTTTTCTTCTAGTACATAAATTATGAGATATAATTATTTAAAATTTATGAATTAGGGGGCTGGAGAGATGGCTCAGTGGTTAAGAACACTGGCTGTTCTTGCAGAAGACCCAGGTTCCAATCCCAGCACCCACCCAGCAGCTAACGACTGTCCATAACTCCAGTCCCAGGGGATCCGATGGCCTCTTCTGTCCTCCACGGGTATTGCACGACACAGGTGCACTTTCCTACATGCAGGCAATACACACATACACATAAAATAAAATAAGTAAATAAATAAAATATTTTTAAATAATAAAATATTTTTTAAATATTTATGAATTAGATTTTCAGTTCTATCACTGGTACTAGGAAATATGCTAATAGGTGCTTGGTTTTATTATTTATTTGTTTAAAGTGTATGAGTGTTTTGCCTGCACCACATGCATGCAATGCCCTTAGAGGTCAGAAGAGGGCATCAATCCCCTGGAACTGGAGCCCTGGACTGTTGTTAGCCACTATGTGGGTACTGGGAACTGAACCTGGGTTCTCTGCAAGAGCAGCCAGTGTTCTTAACTGCTGAGCCATCTCTCCAGCCCGAGGTATGTGGTCTTGAGAGTCTTGTTCTGTTTTGAGGCATAACTCCTTGAAGCCACACTGTAGAGAAGCTGGTCACTCTCACACATTGCTGTTGGAAGTGTGAATAGTTCCAGTATATATGGAGGCAGTTTGAGGTCATCTATTGAGTAATAGTAGTAAAAACTCTTGCTGTAGCAAATTCCATCTCAACATTTATTCTACAGACGTTATAATAGCCAAAGATTGGAACCAACCTAATGTGCCCCAGGAGGAGGCTAATTGTAGAAGTCTGTCATATCCTTATGGTAGAATGGTACACAGTGATACAGGGCGCAGAAAATTCACCACGTGCACAAAGGGTGAAAAACTCTCCAAGCACATTGTCACCTTAAAAAAAATGAAGATGTATAGTCATATATTGTGTGATAGCCAATACTGATTGTTATGGGAATGATTTTCCTGGGGATGTCTTCTGTTACAAATGGGAATTTTACCTAACATTGTAACCAAAGTTAATCCTATGTTTTGAGATCATCTAACAATAACTATTCAATCTGCTTTCTTAGTGTATAATCAGCTTCCTTAGATTTAACTAGTCTTTAAGAAAACCATGTAAATAAACTTCCTAGGCCTTGGGCTCCTCCTGTAATCAACTTTTGTAAGCTAAGATAAGCAAATAGCTTTACTCCTAGATTCTGTTCCCTATTTCTCCCTCTTGGCCCTTCGTTGCCCCTAGCCCAGAATGTGTGTGTGTGTGTGTGTGTGTGTGTATGTGTGTGTGTCTGTCTGTGTCTGTGTCTGTGTGTTAGTGTGCCTATGCTGTGAAAATATCATTGCTAAAGGCAACAAATTATCCTCAGTTTATGTTGAAAACAACAGGTAGGATTATTTTGGTAGCATCTGTTTGTGGTTGTGTGTGCTGTTCTAGGAGAGTAGGGACCAGAAAGAGAAAAATCCTTCCCTGATAAGACAAGTTCCTCGTTTCTTTCCCATATCATGCTGGGTTACTGTTTAAACAAAGAGAGTTCACCCTTGGTTGTAAGAGTTCACTTTTGGCTCCAAGAGGCCAGCTGACTTTGTTCAGGCACTGTCACACTGTGGCATCTCTGCCACAGGTTGTCCATTTGACAGAATCTAAAATGACCTAGGAGGCAAACCTCTGGGCATGTCTGTGAGAGATTTCAAGGTTAAGTTAATTGAGGTGGGCAGACATAGCCTCATTGTGAGTGGCCCTCATTGACTGAATAAGGAGAGAGTGAGCAGAACACCAGCACTCCTGCTGCTGTGACTTTTGCACCATGATGGACTGGACCCTTAAACTGAGTCAATGCCGGGTGTGGTGGTGCACGCCTTTAGTCCCAGCACTAGGGAGGCAGAGGCAGGCAGATCTCTATGAGTTCAAGGCCAGCCTGGTCCAACATAAGTTACAGGACAGCTGGAGCTATAGGGAGACCCTGTCTCAAAAACACCAAAAGGGAAAAAAAAAACCCAAAAAACTATGAGTCAAAATGAACCCTTCCTTCCTTAGGTTGCTTTTGTTAAAACAATAAGAAAAGTAACAAATACACATACATGCCACTATCTGCATAAATTTTTGTGTGTATGGAAGATAACTATACAATATTTGTTTACAAATACATCTCTAGAAGGATACACAAGAAACTGATAATTGTGGTTACCTACTTGGTAGAGGAAACAGGTTCTTCTTCACTCTGTGCCCCTTTCATAGATGATAGATAGATAGATAGATAGATAGATAGATAGATAGATAGA